GAGAAGTAGGGTTAGGCGAGACGATAATTTTACAACGTCTGACAACGTTTACAAATCACGATTAAAGCGCTGTACGCGCGTTTGCATAAGCAAACAAAGGAATTGGACGCCTCTCTCGCCGTAGAGAGGACGATCCTTTGCCTCTAACGGTTACCATTCTTGAAACACATCGAAGAACTAGTGCTCGCTATTTCGATTAGCCAGTTTCTCGAAACTTTCTTGAAACTTTCGAAATTCGATGATCTTTCATGCCTTTTTCTTTTTTCATTATACGAATATCTTTTCTTCTTTCATTTTTGCCATATTAGATGTCGAAATAAGTTTCTTCCCCTTTCTTTCTACCTGAATTCACTTCAACCGAATGGCATTGTATTTAAATATTCTATCAGTGGGATGGGAATTATGAGCATGATGAGTTTTTAAAAAATCAACCGGTAAAGATAAAATTGCAAAACTTTGCATGCACGATACTAAAAGATTGAACACACAAATACATAGCTAGCGTGAATGTTGCTTATGCTAGATGCTTTATATCGGACAAGGAATTATTTTTTCCCGATGAAAAAAACCACGCGAGGAAAAAATATATTTCGAACATCATTGCCTCTGCTTCGTTTCAGAACACATTTGAGAGCCATCTATTAGCTATTAGAAATTGAACTGCATGCATAGTGCAGCGCGTATTCGCGAGTTGAGCTCGTTATTTGATTGGGTTAAGAAGAATGGCGATGACAACAATTAGGAAATCAGCTGTCGAAGATTGCTGGGGGAGAACGCATATGGTATCTCACGGAAAAAGCGGTGGCAAAGATTTAAATTTAAATTTGGAAGACGACGGTGAGTCTAACGATATCTAACTCTCCAACTGAAACGATCTTGATTGTACCTGATTTATATGTAATAAAATCTTGAATTTGGAAAATAAAAGCGAAAAAGGACTTACTCCCTGCACACCCGATTAGAAATTACAAATATTTTTCAGCTGCAAGATCAAACTCGATGGCATAGAAAATTCTCGCTCGCAATCTCGGATTATCGAGTCAACATTAAGGCATGCTGGGGTCAGATTAGATTCCACCGAGGTGGCCACCAACTTCGAGACGTTACGATCAAGTATTAAACGCGTTATCATCGCATCCCTCCCCTTTCCTAATTCCAGCATCCCGAATCTCATCAAAATTATCGGCACCCTCTCCCCGCCTAGTGTCTTTCCTTACGTTTAATTAAAGACTACAAGATTAATTAAGTGATTCAATTAACTGGATACAACCTGTGTGAAGAAACAGCCACCCTCCTCTCGCCCCTTCTGCTATCCACTCCCCTCTTGCAGAGACAAAGGTGATCGTCTCGAGCCGATCGATATCCCCCGCCAAATTTAAATTCCTCCTTCCAACGATTGTCGGACAGATCTATCGAGAGCGAGCTGCTTGCTGAGATGCGCTCGATTATTTTTTCTCCTACGCTATTTCCTTCGATACGAACTCGGTTACAGGCGTTACGATGATCTCGTTTTTTATTGGCGAGCATCTAGCGATACTTTATCATTAGTTTTAACCACTGCCCACTGGTGGAAGGAGGGATCCTTCGCTACACAGTAATGGAAGAGCTATAATTGGAATATTTAAAATAAAAATTATTTCCATTTTCGTGAAATTATGATCAATCATTCAAGACTGGAAACTTGGAAATGTTTTCCAAGCTGTTAATTATTTCAATGTGATATTAATATATATCTATAACGTGTCTTATATAGCTTATTCGTTCACGTACCATTATTAATCTTAACTGCTCGAATTACGAGATTATAAATTGAACTGAATCGTTACCAATATTAATACAAATATTTTTTTATATTATCATATATCGAGGCTAGGCTAATGGCATCGAGGTTTTTGGATCAAGTAATACGTTCGAGTAATTACGCTTGAGTGAACACAAGGGTTTCTTACATAAATCATTCTTCCAAGTGACAGCAATGCAAATAAGCTGATACAGGTATTTCGTTGCCATTCCACAATTTATTCGTAAATCCAAAAAAAAAAAAAAACAAATACACGTCATCTCTTCGAACGATGGTGGATTCAATCTGTGGAAAAATTCCATTGATCCGAAATGTTCTTTTTTTTTTTTTCTTAGAAAAACATATTCGAGCATTTCACGGTAGAAACGAGAAGGTTAAATGACGCGAAAAGAGAGAAAAAAAAGGGGCGAGGATAAAATTGAATGCATTTACATTAAGCGACTTAAGGGTGATTGACGGGCACAGTTCTCGCGAAAGAGGCCCGTTTCGTTCTCGAACGGGGCGAGTTACGTTACGTTTCGCATCCCGTTTTGCATCCCGCCTTTATAAACACTCGCCTAACGACAATTGTTATCGCGTCGAGAATACTCCCCGCTCGTTTCGAAAGAACGCGATCGAGCCGGGAATGGGAGGAGGGCGCGATAAAATCACGGTGAATCCTCTTAATTGCCGAACCGGGCCGAAGCGAGAATCGTTCGTAATTTGCCACCACTAGTTGCTGCTCGTCGTTGGAAGGGGCAGAAATTCGTGTCAGCAATCGTGGAAGAGAAATCCTCCTCTTTTTTTAACCGATCTCGTGTTTCGTATAATTGTAATACAGTATAATAATAAGAATAATTTATCATGGAAGAAATTATGCAATTCTATGAATACGGACAATGGAAGGATTTTTAAGAATTTTTAAAAATTTTTAAAGATACATGTATAACGATATAATTGTTATTGTAATAATATAATAAGAATAATTTATTAGGAAAAAAAGTATAGAATTC